TGTTGAAGGCGATGAGTGATTTCGACAGTAGTCTCGAGATGTGGTCGGTGAGTAAGTATATATGTAGTATAGAATTTAGTAATTCAATATTATGTTTCTTGTGTATGGGGGCAGATACATTATTGCACATAGAACTTGTTTTGCATTTTGTTATGTTTGATATATATAATTATTTATTTAATTCTTTTTTAAACTACGTACGTCAGGTGGCAACGCCACGTTTTTTTAACCGATCCGTGTTATGTTTCCATTCGTTACTTTATTGTATAATATTAATTGTATTACAAAGATTATATGTATAACTAGCTTAATTAGCCGTTCTATTAACACCCTAGCCTCTTAACCAAACAACGCCGTTTAACTAGCGGCCTGAAAGATATACAGCCAGTTGATCAAACACCTAGGCAAATGACTTGGATCGATGACGTTTCATTACTTGCCTAGCCTGTTGAGTGTCAATTTAAATTTAGTTCCGCTTTCTGTCACTCTTAAACTCGAAACGAAACTCTTCATAATGTCAATATAAAATTCTCGTGTCACAATGTTAGTCTGCATACTCCTCCGAAACGGCTTGACCGATTCCTCTGAAATTTGGTAAGCATATTGGGTAGTTCTGAGAATCGGCTAACATCTATTTTTCACACCCCTAAATAATAAGGGTGGTCCACCCCTCAATTTTTTTTTCAATTTTTAGACAAAACTTTTTGTTTATATTTTTTATGATACAGCATGCCAAAATACATACAACCCCTAATTTTCACCCCTCTACGATCAACCCCTATTTTTTTAAATATACATGGCAAAACGATGTTTGCCCGGTCAGCTAGTGTCAATATAAAATATTGCGTCGGCCAACCACAACTTTGATGGTATTTTCCAAAGTTTAATGAAAAACTTCAAGTACAATGAAAGAGTGTAGTGACAATAATAGTGTGAATTTAGCTGTGACCGACTCAAGCAATTTAATTTTAAAGGAATATTTTGTATCTCAGATGAAGCATCTTATTTATTTCTGCCACATTATCACTCTATCCTACGAATGGCCTAAGCATTAGCCAGCCAGTTTATAAATGTTGTTACAAACACTACGGCTGAATATCTTTCAAGCCGCTAGTGAAACGGCGCTGTTAAGTCAAAAGGCTAGGCGGCTTATTAAGCTGGTTAGCTGCGACATATACATTGTATCCTGGATTCTCAAATGGCGTCTGATAAAATAATCAAATGTCAACTTAAAATTGCGCCTACACAAAAATTTTAACGCAACGTTTTGGGCGCCTATACTTTATTATTATCACTTAAACATTACAGGAATACATAATGCACATATGTCGTACATTAGAGATGAACAAACGTCTCGATGCGCTATACGCGTTGCAGTGCGGTAGTGGACAACATGCGCGTGCGTCGGCCTCTTGTGCTTTGCTTTATTCGCGGCCAGTGATTGGACAAACGTTTGCCACTCTTTTGGCAAGACAACATCACCTTACTGCGGGGTTACATCATTTGGGACAATGTGTTCCGGTTGCTAATAGTAAGTGAACATTTATTTGATTTAGTTTAAATGCCTTTATATTTGTTAAATTTGAGTTTAATATTATGTTCTTTTATTGGGTTTATTTAAAATAAATAAACAACTAAATATTCTGAGCTTTGTGGAAGAAATAGTATAGTGATAAATATAAAAAAGTTTCAGTCCACTAATAACTAGAAAAAAATAAAAAGGGTGCGTCTATGTACGCGCAAGAAGTTATACTTCTTTGGCATTTCTTTTGATTGCATGCAAATAATTAATTACAATTAAATAATCAAAGACTGGAAAAGGTGTCATTATAGACAATAAAGTTTAGTTTACATTTGAAAAATTAATTAAATAAATATTTATTATTATTCTCTTACATTAAGTGAAACATAAATTCTATTATTATCGAATGTTGTTTTTTAAATTATATCCAATGCCGTAGCATCTTCCGTGGGCAACTTCATTCTGTTAATTTTGTGTCACGGTGCGCGCGCATCGTAAAATTACACTCTCATCAATTTTTCATAACACGCCTAAAGAAGTATAACTTCAAAAAAAAAACCAAAAGTAATTTGACTGATTATGATCGTAGACTATTCTATACTATGCTGTAAACATTTTATTCTCAACCGAACCCAAGACCTAAAAATGTAAAATGCGATACCAACTTGGGAAGTGACTTTATACTAATAATTTTAATGTGTTTAAATTTAAAAATCTATGCTATTTTTAGGAATAAATGACCCTAAATCCATACAGTTCCACCTAGATAGAAATACCATAGACAATTTGATGACAACATTTTCCCGACAAATGGAATTGGCTAAGTACTTGGCTAACTGTGAGACCGCTAACAGACTGAACGACAAAGTGATACATGATATAATACCCTTCAACACGCGTCAGTCAGAGACAACAGACCATAGACCGCTGACACTCTTTGGTTCTAATACAGATAAAATAAAACTTATAGCCGTTATACTGGCAGCTGGACAGTCGATAGAAAGTGGATTTGAACTAGCTTTTAAGTAAGTTAATTATTACTTAACTAGATTTGTTTAAACTTTGATATTTTCCTGTACCTCTATATATCATTATATATATATATATTTCTACTCTACGAGTGTATGTCATTGAACAAATCAGCCCGGTAGATGGAGCGGTCGGTATCTAGGTTCTTTATCTATACAGCAAATAAATAGCGGGTATATATATAATATATATAACTATTCTGCGCATGTGTTAAACTCCTAGACGGCTGGACAGACTTTGATTAAAAAAATTGTTAATCTGATAAATATTTATTATCTAAATTTATAAATAAATAAAAACGATTAAATTTTTTTACAGAATTATAACAGAACACAAGCTAGATTCAATGAATATATACAGTCACGTGGCTAGATATATGGTAAACACGGATCGATTCACGGAAGTGAAGACATTGGCTAAGTGTATACGAAATTCAAAGGAAACAGCTGCTAAGTAAGATCTTTTACCTCAGTCTCCTGTAGTTTAGTGTTTGACAGTTGACACATAGCGAAACATGCTGGTTTTGTTCCGAAACAACTTTTTTAAACGTTTATTTATTTCTCACAATTTTACCTTTTTTTACACTTTGTTTTTAGGTTATAATAGTTTCTGGTTTAAAAACACAAGTTTATTTATCCTATAGAAATGATCAATAATCGAGACAATAAATATGACATAGACACAGAAATAACCCTTGTTATTTATTATTTTAAAATAAAATTGCATTAAGAACTATTTTTATTCGTCATTTTAAAGTTTTTGTTACTATTAACTTTTTTCTAGTCTGATGAGCGACCAAGTATTAGAAGCGGGGGTGTCGGCCGTAGTTCGGCGCTGCGAGTCTCGAGGGCAACTGTTTGACGAACAAGCTGAAATACTCATTGCAGACATTAATAGTGTTACTATAAAGGTGTGTATAGTTTAAACTTTAAAATTTAATTTAAAAAAAAATTATATTCATTTTCAATTTATACTAATTGATAAATCTAACCATACTTTGTTGGTAGTTAGAAAAGATTAGAACACAAAAAGTTTTTAGATTTAGCCTGTTTAAATTGCAAAGAAAAATGTCATATTCGCATCCCTAATTTGTTTTAGCCTCTGAAACATTATTGATATTATATTCCTTTGTTTTAAACATGTCATTGATTTTCACAAAAAAACAATAATAATTTGTCTACTATATTGATTATGATAGATTATATTAAATAGCCTTGAGCCAAGAAACCATAAATAAATTAAATAATTATGATTAATAATATGACTAAATGAATAGGTAAATTGAGAATTGAGATAGATAAATAATGAAAACTTGTTAAAACATAAGCAGATATTTTTTTTGTATCCCACAGATGATGAATTTCTTACGACTATTCTCACATTTACATAAATTTAACAGATATCCTGTTATCTTACCTGCCACAATGTAAGCAGCGCCTACATCATGGCAGCTCGTAATGATCGCACCAACGACCTGCGCCGCGTGTTGCAAGAAGCTGAGAGAATTGGCAATGATCAAGTGCGGAATGCATGTTTAAAGAGACTTACAACTAAAAATAAAGCCTAGCTGAACTGTTTGATATTATATCTGTGATTATATTTGTAGGGATTGAGTATATTCGAGAGAAAGTATATTTCTATTGTTTAAAGGACATATTATTATTATAAAGAAATTGGGTATAATCATTTTAATAACTATTATTCACTGCCTTTTTGGCGTGCTTTATTATAAAATCTAAAAAGTGCAATGCAATTACATAATTCCTTGTTTTATATAAAAAGTTTTATTAAAAAAATATAATGTTCTCAAAGTGCACATCCGAGACAAGACACATAACCATTATATTAGAGTAAACAACCAATTAATTGTTTTTGGTCTCAGTTTGTGATAATTATTACCAAATAAGTTGAATGTTCATTGTATAATTTTTAAATATATGGATTATTATATATACATTTTTTTTCTTACAATGTGGCAATATAAACATAATCATGTAAAGTCAAAATATTGGTCTAAATTAATAGAAGTAAAAGACAAATCAATATCCAGTTGATATATTTATAGTTTTCATAATATTAGGAAATGACAGTCTTTTACCAGCAGCCATTTAGGCAAGACTCCAACTCTTCATATCTCATTTGAGAGAAAAGCACATTTAATGGACCTCCACCCGTGGCTGTGATGATGGGCATGATTAGTTGTTCGCCTCTTTGCTTAATCTTAGACTCAGTCGATGTGATATAGATGCTGCTTTATTGGGCTGCCATTCTTAGTTTCTTTAACCTTTTTAAGCTATTGATACTAGTTTTAAATAAATTGGAGTGAGCATTTTGTAAATGTTTGTACATCTTTTTGTTCAATAACTTGGATTTTTTTACTGACACTGCCCTAACTAAACATGCCTCTTTACTTCATCTTAGACTCAGTCTTTGTGACAAAGATAGTTCTTTATTGAGCTGCCATTGCCTTCTTTTTTGGTTTCTTCAACCTTTTTAAGCCATTGATACTAGTTTTTAATAAATTAGAGTATGCATTTGTAAATGTTTCTACATCTTTCTGTTCAATAACTGTTGATATTTTTTTACTATGACACTGTGCCCTCATTAAACATTTGTACTCAGGATTTGGAATAGCTAAACCACCCTTAGGATTCGGTGTTTTACGACCATCGTCTGGAAATGAGAAATTCATGGTTATTAATAAGGATTAAACAATCTTGCTAGAAAATAATAATGCAAGCTTACATCTTTTCATTGTCACTGTTACTGATCCTGTCGTTCTTGCATTCTGGAACAGCTTAGTGAGCTCATTTAGAAACTTAAACAATAAAAAAAATTATTAGCTATCTCACCAGTAGTGATAAAATTTACCATCACTAATAATTTCTTACCACTTCATTATTTAATAAGACCATTCTTTAAAAAAATATATTTTTTATGAGTAAATATTTCTAGTCGAACTGAATTAATTATAACAATTAATAATTTAATATTTAAATACTTGATTTAAATTTTAAATGTGGTTTTAGATTTTACACGAATGCAACAAAATTCCACACGTTAACTTTATGTCATTGTCAAATTGTCAATATCACACTAGCTTGTTTGTCAGTTATCAATTATGACTGAAAATACATAAACCATAGAATACGTGTAAATAGTTTAATCCACAGATATTGAATACACGCACGCCTTTCGAAGTATCACAAACAGAATAAATAAATGAGAAACGATTTTCATACACTAATTCATGTTTTTTAAAGAATTTAATTTATTTGAATTACATCAAAGTTTTAACCGGAATATAACGTGTATTATATTTTAAGTCTTGTATCTTAGGATTTTTTTTCCATTTTTAAGTTTTAGAGTGATAATAATCCGAAAGTCATCATTCTTAAGAGGCACTCGAAATACCGTATCTCGGCGAGTATTATATTCTTTGATGCATAATGTATAGAACACATATGTAAACCGCCATATTATATTAAATTGCAGTAGTGTGTTGTGGCGTAGAACACTTATATACTTGAACTTGATATTTTCAAGTTCAAGACTTCATTTTATAATTCAAAATTGGCAATTAATTACAATCGTAGTATTGTTATTAGAGAGCCATGTCTCAAGGTGAGAATTTGTTATCTGTTATTTAAATTTGTGGCCTATGATAAGCAGGTGGGGCTTATATTTTAACAAGTGATGTTATAAAATATTAATAAGACTAATATATTTTATACATTAGCTATGGATATAGTTTATAGTTATAGTATATATATAGTTTTTTACTTTAATAAAAATTTCGTAATTGCAAAATATTTGTGCAGTCTGAGAGTAGGTACTTATATCAAAATAAGTAACAGAATTTCTGTTTTTATCAAAGTAGCGCTACATTTCTTTATTTATAACTAATTATTTAAGTAAATAATTAGTTAATTTAATTTGCATAATTTATGTTAATTATTATATATATGTTATTAATTAAACACTAAATTTATATTATTTATTGAAATCAGGGTTAGTATCTAATTATTTCACGCTTAAAGTAAACATATATAACATAGCTTAGAATGACAAAAAATATCCTAAGACCATGTATGCCTACTAATGGATTTTTTTAATATCAAACCACGAAGTAATATAATACGAAACCCATGGATAGATGGAAGTTGAGCATCAGTTTGTGTACTACCACTCTCTCGATACTATATTTAAATCTCTTTGGTATGCACAATTTTTATATGTGCCAAATTAACATATATCGTATTTACATTCGTAACAATAATTATGGTACAAGACGATGGGCAAGCTAAGAAGTTATGATAAATAACATTTTCTGAACAATTTTAGCAATTTACGTAAGTACTGCGGTTGGGGTCGGCGTTGTTGGCGGATTATTTCTATCATATCATATATTTAAAAAGGGACAAAATAAAACTAAAATTCCCGAGCAATGGATCCCAGTGGGAACCTTAAAAAACTTATTGGTGTATCCTATAAAGTCTTGCGCGCCGATCGTACTGAACACAGCAGAATGCTCTTCATTGGGTTTGAAGGATAATTGGCTGAGGGACAGGTATTTATGTTTAGTAATATTTTTTATAACGAAACATTACTGCGGTACTTATTGGAATCATACAGAAATCAGTAGTAGTAAACTACTTGTTGATTAACAAACAAACAAAAATCATTGATTTATGTAGGTAACACAATGTACACTTATGAACGTAAAAAAAAAAATATACCTACATATGAAATGCTTCTAATTTTACATTTTCTGCCAGTTCTCAAACCAAGGGAGTAGAACGGGAGAGAAGAACTGGCAATAAACTCTCCGCCACTCTTTTGAATCGCCATTATTTTGTTTTACAAAATGTTTGTAAGGAGCTGCAACCATTACACCATGTCCCATGTAACATTTTAAGTAATTAATAATAATAACATAAAATAAAAACAAAGATTTGTCCTCTATCAGCAGAAGGCATGGTGAAATAGGAGCACGCACTTACATTCTCGTGGGAACAACACGCAAACACATAGTCGAAATAACTAACATCACCGCATACACGAATTCAAGTACGACCTGTCACCAAAAGTAGCACCCGTTCACGAGTATGACGCAGGGCCATGATTTCTTTTATTTATCCAAAAATTAAACATTCCAGTCGTCATGGTATCGTTAGTGTAATTAGAACACTTTTTTTTGCGTTTGCATTGCATGCATGTAAAGTGGAAAATTCACTAAGAACTTATCGTTTTTTTAAGGTTCCTAATGGTAACTGATTCAAATTATCGTTTTCTAACGGCAAGAAAACATCCCAATCTTCTTCTTGTGCATTCATCGTTTGAGAAATCTATTTTAACATTGAAACACAAAGATATGGAACCACTTAGAATTAATTTGGATGAGGTACGTCATTAAATTTTACCATTCATATAAGAACTCTTTAGAGCGGTTTCATTCATTAATTACGTTAATTTGGTGATACCTTCCTTGATAAAAGATTAACCACTACTAGATGGAAGGACAGAGAGACTCCTGATATTTATAATGTTTCGAAAACTTGTCAGTTTTTGCAATCCAATTTTTCATAACGCTATTTTCAGGTTATTGAATTACAAAAGCCCCAAAGTGGTGTTGTTTGGGGTACCAAAGTTCCTATTCGTGACTGCGGTTGGGCTGCAAGCGATTGGTTTTCAAGGTAGCAATCAAGTCAAAACTGAATATTGTTATTTGGAATGTTTTGTGTTAAGGGACGATTTAATTTCAAACTAAGCAATTAAAATCTATATTATACACGAGACTGAAAGAAATTTTAATTATAAATAATTTAATATAATTATTTTGATCTAATCTATTTTAATTTAAAGGTCTCGTTACCAGGCCATAAAATTATAAAAAAAAAAACTGCCGTTATTTTTCAATAAAACTAATCTTATAATACAACCATTGTTAGCTTTATGCTGTTAAAGCTAGACTTAATGCTTCCAGATTACTCGGTTCCACAGAAAACCAGATGAAACTTGTTTTATACGCTTCGAAAAAAAGTCGTAAACTAGCTCAAAGTCATTTACAAATTATTTACAACTTTGGAAGTGAAGATACGGTATCTATAAAATATTTTATTACTAATAAATAGTAACTTTAAATTATTATTATTGATAATGATTGATTAATGTGCAATGTTAATTTGTTCTTATAACCTTAACTTTTTTTTTAAGTTACCTACCATTACCGTTATTTGTCCAATTCCTCCATTTGAAAAGGTCCCTTGATTGGACTGTGTAAACAACTATTGTTTTTGTTTAGAAATTAAGAAGGAAATCCCGTTACGCGTATTGTATTATGTATTGTATGTACAAGCCGTCGGAAATATCTGCGAACCTCGCTGGAATGCGCTTCCCCTGGCGCTTCCCCGCACCCCGCCCCGTTTTCGCCTATCCAGTACCGTTGCCAACGCAATCGCCGACGCACGTGTATTATTCTTGCTTTCGTAATCGCATTTTAGTGTTTATTGTTTCTCTGTTTGGTGAAATATTACATAAACTACCTATTTAGTGCTGTATGTAAGATGGGTAGGACTATACATAGTGCAGAGCGCAACAACAGAATGCAACCATGTTGATCGCTTAAGAGATAAGTTTTGGCATAATGACAGATTATATGAACATGAAGAACGCGAATTAATAATTTCATTAGGAGGAGAAGACAGTGACAGCGAAACCGAAGACAACATTTTGAGTGATAATATAGAAGATGACGAAAACGACAGCGCTACCATGTCTGGTGTCGAGGCTTTTCTAGAATAGTTTCGCCACTTTCTCTTCCTCTCTACTTTTTCTTTGTATTATTTGTAAATTTGTAAATAATTTGAATTTTAAATAATGTAAATAATAAGTATTTGTAAATTTCAAGTAGGTACGAGTATCAATAAAAATAAGTACACAAATAAAATATTTTTTATTTTTACATCTTCAATTTTTTTGCTATCTCTCCAGTTTGTATGACGTCATTAAGCCAGGTTCGCAGATATTTCCGACGACTTGTATGTATGTGTATTAATTAACATGTATTAATTTAGTTAACGCATTAAATAGGTTAACGGACCTTATTCATTGTCCGTTGAGTGAACTTTCAAAAGTCGAGCGAAAGTTCTATTATTTGTAGTTAGTTAATTTCTTGTATTTTTTATTATGTAATTTTGTTTTTCCTTATTAATTTTGTAAGTTTTCTTTTTGTTTCGTCTGTAAATGTTATTCACTTATTGTTCACTGTTGTAAATTCGCCTGTTAGGGCAGGATAGTTGTTATAAATAAAAAATAATATTATCTTTATATAGTACATTATGATATTAGTAAATATAAATACTGTTTTGCAGGGCGTCTTTACCGACGACACAACATACAACTTAATTAATGAAGCGTCGGTAAACGACGTAAAGCAAAAAGTCCCAAACAGCGACATATCTATTCGCAATTTTAGACCCAACTTCGTGTTGACCGGAGCCAAGCCGTTTGAAGAAGATAGTTGGAGATTTGTTAAAATTGGCAGTGTTGTTTTCGAAATAATTATGCCCTGTTACAGGTTTGTCTGTGTGTGCCCGATCAAGTATTACGTAAGCAGATTTACTGCAATTTATCCCCCCCCCCCCTTCTCTTGTCAGCAAAAGTAAGCAAAGCTCTCAAAAATAATTGTACATAAACTTATTAATTTTTTGTAGGTATCCTCGAAAACGCATTTCGATTTCAAGCATAGACAATGTGTGGGTAATATGGGTAAAAAAGTAAATACTGTTGACATACTCACCAAATAAGAAAATCAAAGACCTCCCCTTCCCCCTATAGTGCTTACGTAATACTTGAACGGCCCCTGTGAAGTAATAATCTGTTTCTTAAGGGGATTTTTAGCCTAGACCTCTATGAATTACGGTTCTAGCCTAATTCGAATAGATAACTCGACCTTGTTCAGTAATATATGTACATGAATTTGACACTAGATTCTACTGGGATAAGAATTGCTCCGCATTAAATATTCACCTATGCAAATTGGGCGGTGAGCCGATAATTTCTATACGTGTACCAGCGGATCCGACTGTACACACGTCTTACATACAAAAAAATATAATAATGTAAATCATTCTCGACTCCAGTAGAACACACAAAAATTTCATCAAAATCTGTCCAGCCGTTATATATATATATACCAGCTGTTTATTTGCTGTATATATAAATATAGATACCGACTGCAGGACTGATTTGTGAATCTTAACCATCCAGGGTGCCACCCTAACGCATACAAAATAATTCATTCAAATCGGTCCAGCCGTTTAAGAGGAGTTCAAGGACACACGTACAGTAGAATTATATATATATGTCATATAAAGATTGATCGTTTCTATTGATTCTTTGATTACAACAAACATGTTAGTTTTTAATACTAAATATAATCTTCAGATGTGTGCTTACAACAATTAATCCAGAAACGGGTGTGCCTGATACTAACTCAGAGCCATTGGAAACTTTGCGAAGGTGAGATGAATTATTTTAGAAATTATTTTGCTGAAACTTCGTACGTACAAAAAACCAGTAAACATGGTCTTAATAATATCTTTATTGTAAAGTATATGTATCGTGGAGTTTTGAGCCCAGCTATAGATACCGGCAAACATCTTGAACAAATGTCCTTGCAAAAGCGATTTTTTGCTATCACTTGAAGTGACGTGTCGATCGCGTGATTGGTAAATCAGTTTGTACTCCCTCCACTCCCTTTTGAGGTGATTGACTCTAAAGCCCTAACACGGAGTAGACTTTATTATAGACATGTATATACTGCTGGGACTATATATGGGATGTCGATCCAGCTGATGTCGCAGGCTGCAAAACTGTTTCACTTTTATTCCTTTGAAGTTGCTGAACCGTACGCATAGATTCTTCAGGTACATTCTTTGTTGGGGGTGCATCAACTGCGGCAATGCAGCATGCGTCAGAGACACGTTTGTTCTGCTCTAGTCGTACCTGGACGCCCGAAATGAATTGCGTCACTATTTCTATTCTTTATTGCATCAATTATTATTTGCTCGGAAATCGAACCCAGGCATTGACTATGTTTATAAGGAAAAGGCTTGACTTTAGTAACTATTTCAGCTACCGCCTTCACGACGATCCGCAAATTCGTAAATCAATTGGTAATTCACCTCGAATGGGCGTGCAAATGGCCCTTCGATCCCCGCCTGGTGGAACCGTTAATTTAAACGATACCATTTACATTGCTTAGGGTACAGCTTCGGGCTCAGAGTCTCTCGGAATCCCATAGAGATGGAATGAAATTGTAAACATTATTTTATGTCGAATTTTTTTTTTAATACTTTGTAGTTTATTCAATAAAATATGTACATGTATTAAGTCTTTATGTGAATAATTAATCCTGAAATAAAACATAAGTTTGTAATTAATGACCTATATAATATATCTATCAAATAAGTAGTAGATATGATATAGATAAAAAGAAAGAAACGTACCTAGTATAAGTATAACGAAAATTTTGTACCAAAAAGTCACGCTAAGAATATTGTAGTTATAATGAAATTGGTAGATTAATGTTCTTATTACTTATTCTATGTTGTCTAGCATAGCCAGCCGACAAAGTACAAAATCAGTCTCCGATATTTCTTAGATAAAATTAAAAATTATCTACAGACAAACATTCGTTTTTTTTTAAATATTTACATGAAATACAAAATAAGTCCATAGTCCATATGTTGATTTAGTCGGTAGAATACAGTGGCGTTCTACAACAGAGCGGTTTTAAAGGCACTGGGCCCCACGCACCACCTCTGTAGCAACCAATACGAACTAATACTAACTAAAACTAAAGTGACCCAACACGAATAAGGGACCTTCCAAAAAAAAAAAGAATAGCATTCCCATTTCCCTTAAAAGCCGGCAACACACATGTAAGCCTCTTAATTAAAAGTAAACGTAATTTTAGTTTATTTTTTACATTATATCTATAATTGTCTTTTACGACACTCGAAGAAATCGTGCTAATTAACTATACGAGTAATATAACTTGTACATGCAACGAACGTCAAATGTATAAGGACAATAAGATAATACGTTGTAAACAGTTTTATCTGAAACAACATGAGAAAATACCTACTATTCACGATAAGCAGCGCACAGAGTGCAGTCGCATAGTTTTCTGTTATATTAGATTCAATATTATTATTTATTTATATAACACCAAGGCAGAGACACGAAATAATTATTTTAAACTTGTGGTGATATTTTAAGCGACAATAAAACAATTATACAAAGCCAAAATGTTAAAAACTAATATAGCAATTGAAAATACCCAGCGCGCTGCAGCGCTTTATTAATTGCGTAATAAAGTTTCGCTTACAAAATAATTCTATGTTCGTATGTTGCACGTATCTGTCAAATATAAACGTCAATACTCTACAGATTTAAGCGCTTTTCGATTCTGTCATCTGTGTTTACTATTTACTTGTGTCACACTTGATTACGTTACCTTAACCGTGTGTTATACATTTTAATTACTTCGTACTAAAGGCAATGATGTCAAATCAAGGTAAGCTGATTTTCAGCATAAGACTGATTTAACAAGATTGATTTTTATTGAAACAGATTTAAAATATAGTCGGCCATAGACTACGTATGTTGGTTAAATAACTATCTTAATATATATAAATTACGTGTCACGTTGTTTTTCCGCGATGGACTCCTAAACTACTTAACCGATTTTAAATTAAATTTGCACACCGTGTGCAGTTTGATCCAACTTAAAAGATAGGATATCTTACATCTCAATTGATACCCGCAATATTATTTTATTGCAAATTATATATTTATTATTTGACAGTCACAATTCTAACAGCTGGCGCTGTGATGAAAGTACCAACGTTTCACATAAGCTACAATTTAATGACATAACCACCAAAAAAAGCATGATGGTCTCCATGACTGGTGTTCTCCTACCGTTTCCCTTGAATAGTTTACTATAATATAACAAAAACCTTAGCCACAGCAACGCTTGGCCGAGTCTGCTAGTAAAGTATAGTAATCCCATGCCTAGTTATTTTATTCGACATTAAATAACTTTTATTAATTCTAAGATCAAGGTTATTTGGTCGCTATATTATTGTGTAATATGTATTTTTTATTTACATTAACTAGTAACTAGTTAATGCTGAGCTAAGCTACTTAAAATGTTCTTTCAAAACCATTACAAAGATCCTAGGTTTTATGTATGAAACTCAATACATACCTATTCGGTTTAGAGGCCTACTTACTAACTATTTTTTTGTGAATACCTTAAAAAAAAACTTAAAAATCCACGCCAGGAATAAATTGATTATAATTACATTGGTAATTTAATGCTGTAACTATTTATTTTATGCACTCTCCTCATTATGCAAAATTAATTGATTCTTTTCCACATACAAAATAGGAAACTCGAACTATAAACTACTAACATTAAGGATAACTTTCAATAGGTACTTACGCTAAAGCCGCAATAGCATCAGCCGGCGTTATCGGTGGCGCATACGCAGCTTATCAGCTGTATAAAGAATTACAAAAACCAAGTTTACCCGAGGAATGGACACAAGTTGGAACCCTTAAGAACATTTATGCCTACCCAATAAAATCGTGCGGTCCAATTGTTTTAAATACTGCAGAATGTAGTCTGCTAGGTCTGAAGAATGGTTGGTTAAGAGATAGGTACGTGAACTTATTTGTTTTTCAAGTATATCCAGTAAGATAAAGGACTCGAATTTACCTGCCATCTTGATCAGTCTGTCAACTTTCTGTTGCAATCTCTATTGCTGACAGGACTCAAAACATCGAATTTTGTAACATATGTAATAAATATGTATCCATCCATCATTAATCAAGTTTTTTTTTTAACTGAAACTGAAATCAAGTCAAGTCAAAAATCATTAATTCATATAGGTAACACAATGTACACTTATGAACGTCATAAAAGAAATATACATAAATGCTTCTTATTTTACATTTACTGCCAGTTTTCAAATCAAGGGCGTTGAACGAAAGAGAAGAACTGGCAATAAAATACGTCCCAAATAAAACTATACCTATCTCATAAGCTTGTTGAAAAATTTATATTAAATACATATCGAAAAATCATCACTTTTCGCTTTTACAGGGTGTTGATGGTCGTGGATGACAAGAACAACTTCATAACAGGAAGGGCCTATCCGGAACTTCTGTTAGTTGAACCGTCGATCACGAATTCTATTCTAACTTTAAAGCATCGTGATATGGAACCGGTCTCTGTGAATTTAGCTGAGGTGATTGATTTCACATATGTTTTAGTTATAATAATCCAGTGGCGCCACAGTAAAACAAAATAAGCCTTCGCCTCAGACATCTGCAGCTGTATGATAAGTTAAGGCAAGGTGGTGAACAGCCTTCTGTATATAAAGGTAAGAAAGCTCCATTTTGTCAAAAACGTATTGAATTTGACAAACGGAAGTTATAGTATCTGTAGACTGTGAATGTTACCCGAAGACCTACCCTTTCTATCCAAGTATATAGGAAGAACAATCCATTATACACAGTCGAGATTACAACGCACAATCTAAGAGTTCAAAATCGTGACGTGGCGGACTAGGCAACACTGCCTTATTGTTATTTACTTGACTTCGATCAAACCTCGGATATCAGTAACAATTTTTATTGTAAACTCATAAGATCCTCTAGTAAATATGATAGAATAACATCTATATTTAAAGTAATATCTTACCCGTGACCCCAGAGCTGGTGCTTTCCTCGCTCAACGAATAAGTATCGCAATTCAGTGAGGAAATGCTGCCAGCGTTAAAGGTACACAGCCACAGGGACTAAACTTTTTAAATTTGCTTCAATTATCTTTTTATTCATTTTTAATTATTATTACATAAGGTTAAGAAAATAGTAAATACTGTATATTGATTGTTATGTTTAGGTTTTAATAAACAATTTATCAATCAATCTTAATTAGGTGTAGAAGTTTAGATTTTTTATTAGTTGGCACTTTTTTTACATAAGGTGATAGCCTTACAACCCCAGAAGACAGCTACAGTTTGGTCGGTCTCTGTGCCAGTTCATGACTGTGGCTGGGAAGCTGCCGAATGGTTTTCAAGGTACGTTTCAGATAGTTTTCGTGTAAGTCAAAAAAATAATAAGGAGGACAAAATATTTGTAAAACATTTTGGCATATGGGCTATGATTCTCAAATTTATTATTATATTAACTAAAAACATTATTTACATTGGGTATTGCTTTTAATTAATATTATGGAAATTTCAGTAATGTTTAGTTCGAATACGAATTTCCGCCTGCTTCCTTTGTGATAATATTTTTTTGTTTCCTAGGAACAGTTTCTAATTGTTATGCATTGTCCGAGAGGTAAGAAAACATAATTTTAAAGTTATCATATCATCGTTTTTTAAGGCACATTAGTAGGAGAAAATATTGAAATAATATCGTCTTACAACTCGCATTTTCAAATTTGTATCGATAACTATTCTTTTAATTTTAATAGATACATCACAAATGTTTAATCGTTTATATCAGAAGAATTAATACGAATAAATTTATATTTTTTACTTACTTTGAATATAACTCAAAAATGGTTCACTTTTGCAACGCATATGGGGTAAATTATTACAAATTGTCACCCCTATCACCTCCTAACGAATAAGTCGAATTACCAATTATATGCTACCTAAAGATACTTCTTATTGCAGGCTATTAGATAAATCAACTACCAACTACAGGCTCGTGTATTACGCGTCTCAAAATAGCCGCAATTTAAGAAGCACTACAAATAAAATTTACAAGTTTACGAAAAACGATACGGTATGTTTATTGTTTTAAAGTACCGTAAGCCCATTATATAGAGTCCAGTTGCGTAACAATAGGGTGGCAGGGCTGGCAAATACCACGAGCCCCCGACCCAAGTGATATTATGTTCTATGGATGAATGTGAAGTCTCCAATACGCATTAGGCTAGCGTGGGGACTACAGACCATTCCCTCTCGCCTCAGAGAGGAGGCCTATCGCCATTAGTGGGACATATACAACGTGTAATTGAGTACTCTGAAAATCTCAATGTTTATTAAAATTAATATGAGTACAACGTGACGTTTTTTACTGATAGGGCCCCATCAAAAGAATTTGCCACGGGCCCCAGATGGTATAGTTACGCCACTGATATAGACTATAGAATATAAGGCATACAAACTTACACTATAACTCATATCAATATGTGACTTTACAGTAACTGCCGAAGAAATCATTGTGTCGCAGGGACGTGCACTAACGGAAATACGTATTCTCTTTCTTTCTTTATAAAATACCTATTAGATTAAATAATCATTAAAACTATTTAAAGGGCGCCCTCCCAGATGAAGTTCCCTTCAATTTAATAAACGAGGCGTCTGTGGAAGAACTGAATGGAAGATTAAAGGACTGCCAAGTGACGCATCGTAATTTTAGAGCCAACTTCGTGTTAGACGGCGCTAAAGCTTTTCAAGAAGATCAGTGGAAGTTCGTCAAGATAGGAGATAATATATTTGAAATCATAAAACCTTGTACGAGGTAAGTATTTTCATCTATTAAATAGGAAAATAATTATTGCAATAATTGTAGATCTCTTTGTCCGACGGGGTCAGTCTAAAGGCATTATTTTCACGAATACACACTGATTAATAAAGAAATACAGATTAAAATCTGTTATAACGACATCCAAGGGACTACTCATATTTAGTCGAAACAGCCGATGACGTTGTTTTTAAGTACCTAATACAATAGAATTCAGCCGGGACCTTTGATTGTGGTCAATATAACCGGTATGTTGTTCTAAACAATGTCGTCGTAAACGGTTTTGACATATGTATGTAAGATCAAACTAAAAAATACTTGGGAAGCAAATAGTTAAAGCTTTGATGACGATGTAATATTAAAGATGTAGTAATCATTTTTTTTTATAAATGTCAAATATTTTTGCTAATTGTAATAAAATTTATGCACAGATGTGTTATGACTACTATTGACCCAGAAACCGGAGTACGCCATACAAAAGCCGAGCCATTGGAAACATTAAAAAGGTATATTTTCACATCATGACGTCATTAATATTTGAAACTTTGTACAGATTTTATGAATTATTTTGTGGTTAAATGTCGTCCGACAATAATATAAATGCTAGATCTTTTATGAATATAATCTATGATTAATACAAATGCAATCCTGCGACCTACTGCTATTTAAAAATTAATAAAATATTTTCTAATAAATTTGCAGCTACCGTCAAATAGAAGATCCCGAAGTGCGCAAGACTGCCGGTAACTCACCGCGTATGGGAATACAGATGGCGCTACGCTCTGGTGGTGGCGGACTTGTGTCCCTGAACGACCCCATTTATGTTGCTTAATGTCATGTTTTATTTTATCATTTATTACAACATTTTAGATACTTTTAGACATTTATAATAATTATTCAACTTTGTTTGTTCAACTTAAACATTGTTAACTAATTTCCACTTCAATATATAAATTAATTTGTTTTTTTATTATTAAAGTAAAGTTAAAGATTTATCAAACAGTTTGTCTAATTCCTAACCGATTTAAAATAAGGTTATCAGTCTGGCATAAGTGTATATTTGTGTATAATGTGTGTTTGTATGATCTAAATATCCTTAATATTTATTACACGTGTTTGCACACATATTTCCCAGAAACGAAGTCATATCCCCCTCGATTTGAGATTTTTCGATACAGTTTTAGGGAATAGTTCAAATTTCATCCAAATTGGTTTATTACCTTTACCTTACGCATTTGTGAAGGAGTTATATATATATATTATAAAGGTACATGGGTAGACAATGTTGACGGTTCGATTAAATTTTTCTAATATATTAAATTTTTCTCCTAATTTATAAAATCCTTCATATATTCAAACTATCTTTATTCATATAGGTAAACAAGTACACTTATGAACATCAAAAAAGAAATTTAATTAACTGTAAATTTACATTTACTACCAGTTCGCAAGTCAAGGGAGTAGAGCGGGCAAGAAGAACTGGCAATAAATCTTCGCCACTCTTTTTAATTACCAAGTTTTGAGTCATACAAATTGTTTGAACTGGAGCAAATCAATTCCAAGGATTAGGATCATTTAAGTATTCGTCAAATGAAATAAAACACTGAGTGGCCAAAACAAATATATTTAAATTCTCACAATTTGCGCTGCAATACTGTTGGTATCTTGGTTGGTTATAAGCAGACGAGCAAAAGTCCCTCCGCCAGTGCCTTTCGTCAAATGTTCAGGATTCACAACCACACACCCATTCAGCTCCTAAAAACATATTTATTTAAAAATAAACACATAACTAGCCTGACCATAACCAATGAGTTAGAGTCATTATCATCACTGTTATCAGCTGTTATTCAAAAATAATAAATCAATCTTTAACTAAAGAACTCTATCGTCTCTTTCTGCTAAATTGTGTTTATGCTGTGGTTAAAAGAGACATCTGTTTTTGAAGTTATACTTCTTTAGGCGCGTTATGAAAAATTGATGAGTGAAATTTTACGATGCGCGCGCACCGTGACACAAAATTAACAGAATGAAGTTGCCCACGGAAGATGCTACGGCATTGGACATAATTTAATAACAACATTCGAATAATAATAGAATTTATGTTACACTTAATGTAAGAGAATAATAATAAATATTTATTTATTTTAATTTTTCAAATGTAAACTGAACTTTATTGACTATAATGACTCCTTTTCCAGTCTTTGATTATTTAATTGTAATTATTTGCGATTGCATGCAAATAATTAATTACAATTAAAAAAACTATTTTTAATAATGCCAAAGAAGTAAAACTTCTTACGCGCGTACATAAGTACACGCACCCTTTTTTTTATAAAAGAAGAGGATCTTCATATGAAATTTAAATTATTGTTGAATTAAATTAAACAAAAAGTGATTTCAATGTTAAAATAATCATATGTAATCGTAAAATTGTAATTGATTTGATATTTTAATGGAATATTTAAAAAATACATTTTCCTTGGCACATGAAGTTTAAATATAAACAGGTTAGAAATTTCTTTTAATATTGCTTTGCATATTAGACATACCTTTACAAAGTATCGAAAATTGGAGGGTAGTATTAATAAATGCGGCGTACAAGGCAACTGCGCATGCGCTGCCCATAAAGGCGCGTCAATGCGTAGCGAGGCTGGTGGCGGCCATATTGGATATGCGCATTGCTGGTATAACACGTGACTAGCTAAGCGAGATAGTTTGTCACCACCAGTTCCACTATAGAATTAAAAACATATTTATGTTTTAGTATTTTCAACCAAATAGTAAATTTTTAAATAGAACAGGTAGACCTTTAGCTGACGTACCCAACGTTATTAGGAAGACAATAATTAAAGACGTAAAGAAATGTGCAGGTGAAATGGTGATGGATGGAAAATTTGCGCAGGTTAAAAAACTTCTAAAGTTGTAACGAAACATGCAAACACCAACCTCTCTTGGTTGGCCAAAGAGAAGGCGAAGAGATCGTTACTCAAATAAATATTGCACAGGATGGGTGAAGACGGCAAGAGATAGGATGAAATGGGATGGTTGAGCAAAGGCCTACTGAGAATGGCCTCTAAAGTAAAACACTGCCGGTCTTGGAGTCTCTCACTAAGCCTAAATCCCACCACCCTTCCTTCCTCTTTGTTCCTTTAATTTTACCAGATAAGTGTTACCATCTATATAAACCACATTAGACACTGATACAAATCCTCTCCCAGTCCACTAACTGGCAGACTGCCCAGTGTTAAATAGCATAAATTGATTAGTTTGTATGCTTAGGAAATAATAGCAACCCAGAAACGGCATCATCACAGTTGCAAAACCACCTGATAGAAGTTGAGAGGTGGCTGAAGCATTGGAGAATTAAAGCCAACGAGAGCAAATCGGTACATGTAACGTTTACTCTTAGGAGAGAAACATGTCCTCCGGTAACGCTAAACTGCAAAGTTATCTCTCAAAAAAATAACGCAAAATACTTGGGCATGCACCTAGACAGGAAACTTACATGGCAAAAACATATTTGGACAAAGCGCAAACAACTGGATGGAAGGCTGCGGACACTGAACTGGTTACTGGGACGCAAATCACAACTTAATCCTAACAGCAAGATGCTAGTGTATAAAACCACCTTAAAACCAATCTGGACTTACGGGATACAACTGTGGGGAACGGCCAGCAACAGTAACATAGATATCTTGGAGAGATTCCAGACCAAAGCTCTGAGAACAATGTTTGGCATCCCACATTGTATAAGCAATAGGTACATATACCTCGACCTCGGCCTAAAAACAGTTCGACAGGAAATAGCTCAAAACAGCCTGAAATACCAGGAGAAGCTGACCTCCCATGTAAATAAACTGGCACACGCTCTGAGCGGAGAAGGCGGTCTTCAGCATAAGCGGCTAAAAAGAAGGGACGTACCGAGCCTATATAAAAGATTTACCTCTTAACATCAAGAGAGTCGTGGCTCTGTCGAGTATGGCTCTTGAGGATAACATGAACTGAGTAAAATCAAACAAACAAGTGGCTTATTGCTGGATAGCAGATTGCCATGAAGCAGATACAAAAAAAAAAAAAAAAAAAAAAGGAAATAATAATCGTTTAAGAGACAAAGTGACAAAGTGACTTACAAGTGCAGAAATTTATTACTACATTCGATTTTGTAGGACATTATTTAATAATATTAATATCCAATGTAAGTTCTCTACTCTGTTTCTTACTCTCTTCTCTGGTGTTAAGACTTTATAGGCAACTTTTTTTTTAATACTGACAAATATATACCGAAGGGGGAAGTTCTAAATTCGACGTATTTTTGTGTAAACTTTTACATTTTACACGGACAATAAGATAAAACAAAGTTGAATAAGTTTTTAGAGTGACGTCACATGAAGTTTACACTATTTACATATACACTCACAATGATATTTCCTCCTGGCTTATATGCATAAGGGCATCGGTGCTAGTGGCTGTCACCACCACTCCATTTATATTTAAAGTACACGGATCAGGCAAAAAAGTTATATTAGCGGGCTGCTTCCTCATTGAGTATGGTGGAGTCGGATAGATGTTTACATGAAAAGCATCCTTTTGACTGGAGACTATATATATTTTTGTGTTCGGACTGAAAGAAAATATTTTTTAAAGGGTGTCAGATTAAAACATTGTATTATTTTGAAAAACATTTAATTGAATGTTGATGTCTTTCTAGGACTAACTATAATTTTAAAACCCGTATTCTAGGTTACTCAAACTTAAGCCTGCTGTCACAAGCTGTCAAATAATATTTCCTATTAAACCATATTTGACAGTGTAAGCGGAGATTGTGACTTATACCATTTGGAATACGGGCCTTAGAATACTATACAATAGTTATATAAAACATAAACAGTTGATTTAGTGTTTAAATATAAATGTATGATATATATGTCGCAGCCAACTAGTTTAATAAGCCGTTCAATTAACAGCCTAGCCTTTTAGCCGTATAGGTTGTAACAACATTTATAAACAGGCTAGCTAATGCTTAGGCCATCCGTACGATAGTGACCTTGGGGAACAAATAAAAAAGATTTCTTTAAAAATAAAATTGCTTGAGTCAGTCACAGCTAAATTCACATTATTATTGTCACTACACTCTTCCATTGTACTTGTTGTTTTTCATTAAAACGTACATAAAAGCGTCACTTAGGAAAACACGTTTGTTGAGATTGAAACACACTCAGTTTGAAGAGTTTCATTTTTAGATTGAGAATGGCAGAAAGTGAAATTAAATTAACAGTGAACAGGCTAGGCGAGTTATGAAACGTCATCGATAGCTGTTTCATCAACTGGCTGAATATCATTCAGGCCGCTAGTTAAACGGTGCTGTTTAGTAAGAGGCTAGGATGTTAAGTGAACGGCTTATTAAGCTAGTTGGCTGCGACATATACATTGATTCGTGTTTTATTATTTTAACTAATTCAACATTAATAATGTATAATTACCTTGAAGTACTAATTTCCCCTAAGCTATCAATGAGTTTCTCAAAAAAGGACTTGAATGTTTCAGCCATAGAGTTGTCTTTGACTTTACTATGATCTGCGTCTAGGAAAGGCCCGGTCATTATGACTATGTGAGGTCGATGCCTGTTTATGTACGCAACGAAATCTTTTAACGGCTCGAAGGCTAGACTATTTGACGTTGTATATGGACCCGCTGCAACCACCATAGACAAGTTTCCTGTAAAGTATACAAACATTTAAACTTTAAATATGTATACTTATGTTATATTTTCATGAAAATATACTCAAATATTATCCTTTTAACTTTATTTTCTACTAGATGAAACGTTGAACTTCGTATCACCTACACATATTTGTGTCAAAACTTAACACAAAAGTTTTTAAAAAACAGACTACAAAGACCTCATACTAAATCTAATTTCGTCATATTTAAATTTCTAAACGCACCTAATAAATATTCAACTACCAAATTCTTTATTTCTAAAAAGACATCAAATATTTCACAGTAACTCTGTAAGATTTGGTATTCTGATAAGGAGGGGCTTGTAGTTTATTGTTTATCAGAATGCCAAATCGTAAAATGACTGCTTTACGACTGATTTGAGCGCGACCGTATCTGCGAAAACCGCTGTGAGAGTTCGAAAAGTGAGTTACAGAATCGCAAGGCTGTATTAGAAAATTCAACTGTCGTTTTTAGTATTTTCCTTTCCTTCCTACTTATTATTTATGTTTCCCTGAGCTTCCATATATTTCAAGATCATAATTAAGCAAATCTGTCCAGCCATTCTCGAGTCGACGATTCTCAATCACCGATCCTGGCTCAGACCCTAAATACTTGCCCTATCCCAACTGGCCACAGACTAAGTGACAAAATCAACAAAATTTAATTAGGGAAAACCTTAACTCACCATTTAATGTGTTCATCAGATCAGCTTTTTTATCTGGTACCGGTCGAGCCCCGTCGTAATATACTTCGGTAGCGACGAATTTATCGCCTCGAGGATTACTCCCTCGCATTACCACTACTTGTCCGGGGAAAAGAGAATACTGCTTTAAACTGAAAAAGATTTAAATTTAGTTAAGAGATTGCTACTCAAATGTAGCGGTAAGTAACCTACTTGTCTATAAAAAATTGTTGGCAGTAGTATTTATTTTCCACTAACCAGGATACACTACTATTTTTATAAATAGTATAATTATTAAGCCTGTGATCAGAACTCTTTCGCCAATATATTATAGAAATCGCCTACCGTCAAACGGGGTGAATAGATGGGCTTTCGAACTTTGGTACCGATTTTTGTAATGTTGCGAAATTGAAAGCCATTTTTTTAATTACGCATTTATTGAGTCCTAAACTAAACTTTTGAAATATATTCGTTTCCATTATGATAAGTATGTAGTTTCTGAAAAAAAACACAAAATATACGTGATTTCTATTTTCCTCCCATCAGGGGACAATAGACACACACGAGGGGTGATTAGAAAAATTTCGTAGGGCTGCGTCATCGCAGTTTCCCTGAATTTTGTTTATGTAAGGAAAAAACAAACAAATGAAACTCAATAATGTATTTCAGATACTACGCCGCGGCCATATCTAGACCGCGGTACAGCAGTATCGGTCAAACTAGATAAATTACTTAGCTATGATTGTATCTCAAGTACACTTATTAAGAACCTCAAAATTCCAAATTTAAACAAAATTAAAAGCTTCAAGTAGGTATGACACTAAAAGTGGAAGTTGAACCGGAGATAAACACTACCAAATAGTCCTTTATCCTTTTTGGCAGCCCTGATTTTATCATATCTAATCACCCTTCTTTCGTAACTATTTACCCCTTTGCTGCATCTATTAACCATATTCGCGTGCTCATTAAACCCTCAGGTGTGTCTATTCACCCCCTTCGCGTGTCTTTTGACCTCAAAAAATTAAAGTAAACTAGACTTACAAAATAAGTCTAATTAATTATAATAATGTATATTCTTACCTCAACAATCACAGCAGAATATATTTATGATAACACTGACTGTAATTAGAAGATATTTATTGACTTCTATCGCCAAAATTCTCTAAATTACGAAAGTTCAAACTCGCTTGCACTTTGATGACTTTTTTTTGGTCAACTTTGAAATTTAGTTTTGACGTTTTTAGCGAAGTTGCCATAAATAAAATGTTGCCAGACCAAGGAAAATAAAACTACCAAATGACTAAAGATACGGTTTTGTATACTGGTATCACTCAGTTATATGAATTAAGGTTTAAAATGATGCCAAGTTTTTTCTCTATTCCCCCCGTGAGTTCTATTCACCCCGTTTAACGGTACTGTGTGTAAGTAATTTCAAATTCGGAACGTTACTTTGAATCCAGTTTAAAATTCGATTTTGTAACTTTTCTTTAATACTCATATGTTTCAAAAGTCAATTTAAGCAAAATGTATTGTAGGCCAGTCATTATAGACATTCGAAATCGAAAATTTGATAATAATTCCAAAAGTTTTCAAACTTCGGTCAAGTGAATGGTACATTGCACAGTGGTCCATGTTCCTAAGAAAGGCGGTCATAGAGGTTGTATGTCGGATTAAAAATGAAATATTAACTTTTTTATCTTAGAAATGATTGTTTTAAGGTTTTAATGATAATAACAAGTAAAACAATAGATATATTTTTAAAAAGGTAGATGTATATTCTCAAAAAAAAGGATCCATCCGTACTAATAAATAATAGGTAGCAATAAAATAAGTTTTATTTATACATTATTTTCATGTTATGTCGTGACAACGAAGAACGGGTTTCATTTTTATATATATAGATTTCTGAAAATAGCTTAATTTACATATAAATAATAAAATTTACCAGATAATAGAAAACTGAACATAGGATTTATATAAAACATCGTCTTTTTACATAATAGGAAAACATTATAATTCAGTTGGGTAGCAACGTTTTTTGGCTTCCAACACTCTTTGATAACATGGAAAAGCATTTGGTATTTTAGAATTAATCAAGTTTTTTAATAAAATGTATTGATGTTTAGTTAGTTTAGCTTCAGTAATAAATGAAACGATTTCATCAGAGTTGAATTTTAAGAAATTGTCGGCTGATTGATTGGAATCACTAAGTAAAGTATTTATAGCAGAATCATCTATTTGAGATAAAATTGCCAACCTGCGACGTTTGCTTCTCTTGCTGCATTCTCCAAACTCCTTCCTGTGCTGCGTCCTGCTTGTAGATTGAAGATATTCGCTTGTCTCGTCGTCGTTTTCATGTAGTTCTCCGTCAGAGCTCCCAAGAATGCAGACTTCGATCTCATTTAACCAGTCACCGTATTTGGCAATCAGCTTAGCTTTTGACCTCCCAGTTTCTTCCAATATGCAGCAAACCGTTTACAGAGATTACAAATTAAATCTCTTAAGTAATCGGTCTTGATATTTTCAGTGTCCGGTAAAGAATTTGCTAGCATTTCAAACACTTCACGAGATCTATCTGCCTCATTTTCTTTACTTGTCGCATTCAACCACGTGTCTAGGACAAGCATTCGAGGAAAAGAATACTTGATGATGGATCCTACAGAATAAAAGAAATGAAAATTATAAGGTATCAAATTTACCTATATACGACTTTGTCTTTGTCATGACCTATAAGCAATCCTCGGCGCACTTTGGCGCACCTAGATGTTACAGATTCTAAAACTAGACAAACAAGAGATTATTTTGATATATGTTTCATCTTTGGGGATTCGTTCCTTCCTAAGTAAAAGTCTAATTAAATATGGCAGAGCGGTAAAACTCAAAGAAATCGGAAGTCTTTCTTGATGGTGCTGATTACAGATAACGACACGGTTAAAGTAAACACAATAGGATTAAAAATGTCGTACATACCTTCTATTTGAATATCCATGGCAAAAAATTATCACAAACAATCAATTTCCGAGAAAACAACACTTTAAAACAATAGAAATTTTGCCGACAAAGACAACGCTAATTAGCACTATTGGAATGTTATCACTTCGGTTGCACAAAATGAAATGATCCTTTCATGTTATTGTAATTGTTTTTATATCTGGGGGTAGAAGGGTTATTTGTCTACCCTGTAGTGATAAATGACGTCATAATTCAACCATCGACATTTCAGCCCTATGACCTATGGGATGGACCACTGTGCATTGGGACGACAATAAATCTCATTTTGCAACCTTGTCCGCAGTCCGGAACATTGTTAAGGGCCGGTTTTTTGATCCGTAGCTAACTCAACTATTGGTAAAAAATCGTTACTATTAGTTAAATATCAGCAAAATGCGTTTTTTTGATCCGTGGTAAGAGCATCCAATGGTAAAATATCTAACCATTAGTCAAAAAAGTTAACTACTCAGTATCGGAGGGTTAAAAAGATGGCCGCTGGTAATTTATATAGTAACAGCTGTTTGTCACAGAAATCAAACTATGATAAATACGTTTATTACTATCTAATGATGAATTTAAACATATTGAGATACATTAATTAATGAGACGATGAAGAAGACGATAATATTATATGAGAATGTGTTAATGAGTGACCAAAAATATTTAGGCAATGTCATCAGCCATTAGAAACCTGGGATGATGTAGATTTTTGTCACTGTTACCCCCTATCGAAGGGAACAGTGCTCTGGATTGTTACTGAAATTGGGAATGATCTTAAACTGCCAATGAACAAGAGTATATATAGACAGCAGCTCATACCAACCTATTTTGCTTCATTACTAACTACAGAACCGCAGCAGTATATAATTAAGTATATTACTAATTCATTGTGTTTTATTGCCTTTAATATTAACTTATAATTATTATAATTAAATAAAATACAAGAACAAGAGTATATATAGACAGCAGCTCATACAAACCTATTTTGCTTCATTACTAGCTACAGAACCGCAGCAGTATATAATTAAGTATATTACTAATTCATTATGTGTTTTATTGCCTATAATATTAACTTCTAATTATTATAAGTTAATATTATAGGCAATAGAATACATAATGAATTAGAGTTAATATTATTTATATATTACTAATAATATTAACTTATAATATTATAAGTACATACAAGTATGTACTTATACTAAAATCTACAGCTACACATTAGTTAGGGACCTATGATATTCTTTAGGGCTTTTATTACATTTGTGAGTTAGCATCTACCTACTTTATTACAAGAATTTATAAATAAAACATTTGACTTGATTAATAAACTGTTTAATTATAACTTAAATACAAACCATTTTTATTAAAAAAACATTACAAAATTTACATGAAACCCTAAAGTAGCAATTAAATATTTTCTAATTGTTTCTTCTTGCATTTCACCTCAATTTGATGCAACTCTTTTTGCTGCTACATATATTTATTGTGCCTTTCTTCCATCTGCTGCATCACTTTTTGGTGCACCTCCTCTTTATGCAGTATGAATTTTTGGTGGGCCTCTCATTGGTGCAGCAAATGTTTTTGATGCTCTTCCTCAGCATAATTGAACAAATCATCCTCTCTTGTCTTTGTTTCAAAAACTCAATTTTTTTTATCCCTGTGGATCATAATCCACTTCCTTGTTTCCAAAGGGTTAAAAGATTTTTTCCTTTTGTTGTAGGACACAGCTATACAAGAATAAATATAAAAATGTGCCTACACCTTCATTAAATGTATATTAAATTTAACACTTCGGTGTCTAGACCCATCTGAGTTGAAAACGTCACAGAGATTTCCAAGCTGCATCTTCTTGTAGATTGCTGCAGTGATCAGTTGTTTGCAGGTTACGACTGTGTAATCCTTAAGAAGCATCACCAGTTTGGCAGTTTCTTTTTTGGCGAAGTTAGCAGTATGGTCCCTTTAACAAAACATAAATGTATTACTTTCTATTACGAAACACAAGATAAACCGGAATAAATAACACGAAAATATGTTTGTACTTACTTATTTGACCGTTGGCTGTTTGCGGACATCGTTATTTATATATTTAAGTATCGTAAAAAGTGTAAACCGTATTAAATCACAGAAAAACAACTTTATTTATATCGTGTTATTTAGATTAATTTGACACTTCAAACTCTTCAAAGCGCAAATAACGAATGAAGATGGCAAAAATGGATTTCATTCACTCAATATGTCTAGTGTTGTCATACAAAATAAATGTTCCCCACAAAAAAGAACCACATTTTTTGGGATGTCATTGCTCATTGCACTGGCAACAAATTGACAAATTGTTAAGTTTAACTATAGTTAAAAAAGGCATTGAAAAACGCATTTACGATTTTACCAATGGTTATTCATTTAACTATAGTTAATGTAACAAATGGCAAAACCATTTTTTACTACGGATCAAAAAACTGGCCCTAAAATTGCAATTAAATTAATTTTTGCTGTATGGTCGTGAAAAAAATTCCAAAAGTTCTGCAAACTTGGGGAAGTTTTCGATATAATATTTCATATCACGTATAAAATTTGCAACCAACCTAAGTGTACGGAACATTTTTTGTTATTTATTTTATTTTCGATATATCTGTCAAATTTGCAGAACTTTTGGAACGTTTTCCTTCAGTTTAATAAAGAAAAACATTAATTTTTAATAACAAAAAATGTTCCGTACACTTAGGTTGGTTGCAAATTTTATACGTGATATGAAATATTATATCGAAAACTTCCCCAAGTTTGCAGAACTTTTGGAATTTTTTTCACGACCAAAACTTATTTTTAACAATGTTCCGGACCGCAGAGAAGGTTGCAAAATTTTATAGTTTGTTTTAATACCACTCCCGACCTTACATCAAAATTTGAAAACTTTTGGAATTATTATGAATTAATTGTCTTGACTGACTGGTCTATTGATTCGGAAAAAAATAAGAGGTTTATAAATCTGTTTTTTTTACTTTAGAATTGATACAGGAAATGTCGAGTTAATGCAATTATGTACATTTCTGAATAACAATCGTTGAAGTTACTATAGAGAGTTTAAAAGCATCAATGTAGCGTTTGTGCCAGGCACCACCACTATGAGGAACCAGCTACCGAACTGAAGTATTTCCGAACCAATTCGACTTAGGGTCCTTCGGCAACGAATTCGCGAGCCCTCTGGCATTGAGTGTCCATGGGCGGCGGTATCACCTAACATCAGATGAGCCTCCTGCCTAAAAACTAATTCATTATATCTATAAACCTCAATAATCAAAGAACGTTTTACCATAATCACTCAGTATACAGTGTGTGATATTCACAAATAATGTAAATTATATTAAATAATTTTTTAGCCAGTTATTTTAGTTAGTACTTACTTATCCATATCAACAGACACCGAGGTACTCAATGAGTTCTCCCAAGTACCTTGTAAGACGGCGCTTTTGGCGTTTAATCTTGCATCTGCGTCGCATTCTATACGTCCCGAGACATACACTTCGGACTGAAATAACAACGTAATACTATTGTATTCTCAGAACCTACTTTCCAGGTCCTTTAGCTAGAAAAATAAGTCTTTTGCGCCTAATATTATATATATAATATAAAAAACATTCCATGGATTCAAATGATTCGTAAAATGTTTAGGTTTGACTGCCCGACACATAAGTACATAAAAAAACTATACATATCTAAACTCCAGAATGGAAGAAGAGATAGTGACAATTCTTCATCTTTTTTAAATCTGTTATTATTTTTCATTAATATTCTGTGCCTAACATGAAACTATTATTGTGAAAATCAAACAAGGTCTAAGAAAGTAAATATTAGTATAAACAAAATTTTACCTGAGTTTTATATGAAACCGAAACTGACTCAGTTATTCCATTCTTTTTCATAATGCATTGAGATATATACCGAATGTGATTATCAAACACAGTTGCCTTTTCATGAAGTAACTCGAAACCAAACCTACCACAAATACATTAATTTAATAAGTGCTAATTCCATATTACAAAAAAGGACTGTGGATAATGTCATATAATATATATTAGAACTAACAAAGAAACAGTTAGGTGTTGAAATTTTTTAATGGGAAAAATATCTTCCCTTTAATTTTTTGTTTTAATTTAATAAGCTGTCTGTTAAAACAATTCCCCATGTTACTGTTCAAATACTCACATTGCCTTATTATACAGATCTCCATCATCATTCGGCACTTGTGTCACATTTAATTGTATCAAATTTAAATTATCACATTTATCAATATCTTGTAACAGTTGGTCAGGGCCGTATGAATGCACAACAGAACCCTGATTTGTTCTCGATGTGTACTTAGCTGAAGATCCCCTAAAAATGATGGTAAATCAAACATTTGCTAACGAATTAAACAATTCAATAAAGCAAGATTTTCCCCCACAGTTGCTCATAATTGATTTAGGTTAAAGTCCCAGCGCATCAAATGAAATAAAAATACAACCTACCCAATATGATCTAATATGTAGTTAATTAAACTTAAAGGAAAATAAACTTCAATGCAGCTTACTGTACTTGTATTAGATATGATATAGAATCATTAAAGGGCAGAGACATTCAGTCTATAATTAATTAAACAAGTCAAGTATGTGTATGTCTAAAAGTCTTAGAATTTAATAGTAAAGCAAATTATTGGGCTTTGAAAACAATGACGTTATTGAGATTCAACTAAGGAAATGAGTTCACAATAAAGTTAACTTAGTTAACTGATATTTGGCAAATTGTAATTCGTCTAATAATATAACAAGCTTTTTATAATGAAACTGGTTAAAAAACATGACTATTAAATTTTTTTAGTTGTACTTACGTTGGGGAGTATGTAACAGGACATATTTCACTTTGTTGGATTTGTTCATTTTCTACTTTTATTCTCTGAAAGTATTGAGTTTATGATGGATATTAGTTACACTTGGACAAAAGTTAAATCAAATTTCAGTATGTGAATGTGACACTTTCAATGTTTGAGTTTTATTAACTAGTAAGCCACATCACTTCTTTGACATTGTTTGTGTTCAGTAAAACATGCAGTATACATAATCAGAACATGCAGATTTGAGTCGACGGCTGCAGATGAGTATGGATCTAGTCATGTTCATAACATGTACCAGATACAAACTCGACTACAAAATATCATCATATTATATATTTTTAATCCAACCTGAAGTATTAGTCCTACTATTTTACGTTTTTTTTTTCTGAAAGCAGTCAATGAGTGTAGATCTAGTCACAAACTTTGACTGTGATACTAAAAGTACACCCATCTACTGCAACCAGAAACCTCTTCAAGTTCAATCGAATTCTTCTAAAACCCGCCAAAACTTTAACGTCAAAATAATTTCCGGCAACATACCTTTGGAGTTGTAGTCATATAATTCGATAGCACTTCATTTTCTGGTCTAAGTGTTAGGAAAAAAATTAATTCATATTAGAAATCTAAGTGATAGACATAGGTTATGAGACAAACTAGCTGATGACATTGATATAAACATATTCTTTAACTGTTTCCGCCGAAATTTTTTACACAAACAAAAGAACACGTGGACTTTGAAAACTTTAAAAGGATACTGCGCTGACAACGGTGCGCCGTAGATCGGCAAAGTTGCGCCGGTACTCAAATGAGAAGTTTCATTGGTTGAACTTTTACTCAATGTCCGTTTGGAAAATTCCCTCCTCTCAAGTAGATTCAAATTTTCAATAGATGGTGGAGCTCCATTTAGATGTGTTAAACTAAATGCCATCCACTGTTCTATAAAAGTTTCAGCATCAACATTATATTCTTCACATAAACTAACACCTGTAGCGAAATAAAATAGTTCGATTAAAAACAACCTTGAACAATATTTTTTAGGGGATTAAAGTTTTAATGACATCAACTGAGTATAAAAGGTCAGTTAGTTACACCATTATACTTATTTCTACCAGTACCTTACACATAAAATAATTACTTACATTTACTTAAAACATCGTTTAGAACTTCTATTCCTAAAAACTCAAATTGCTCAGTCACTAGTTCATGGGTAGCCATTTTCTAAAATACATTTTAAAGTTTAATTAAACGACGATCAACGATGTAGTATTAAACCCACAGAGTAGCTTTGGTACAAGCGTCAATCGTGAAACGTTGACGGTTGAACTAGCGAGTAGCGTGATTCACATGAAATATGAATGCGTATGATTAAGATTCAGACTTGAGTCTGAAATCTCATCATACTTAGAGTAAGATACAAATAATCTGAATCTGAGGGTTCGACTTCAGACCGCTTTACAAACATACTTTTTAAACTTTAGAGCCTTCGTTTGTTTTATCAACACAAACTTCAAGGATCGCAGGTAGCTTTTCTTATTCTTAGGGTAGGTAGGTACAAGTGTGAAATGTGATAATGATATAACAATAATAATACAAAACTTCTTTTACCAAAGCTGGAATTGAATTATGTATTTCACACTCAGTCATTTTACAGAGCTGTATCATACTTGGTGTTTCTATTAGTTTAACAGTGAGGCAAAAAATGTTCCAACAACCACTCTCATGCATTTTTTTTTCTTTTCATCCATATATATATAGGCAATATATTTTGCTAACGTCGAATGGTATTTTACCTGCTATAGGTAGTATAATTTGCTTAGAAAAATTAAAATAAATACTTTATGGTTTTATAAAGTAAAATGTCATAATTATGCCAAATTTAGTCTTTTTTATACCATGCTAAAAACTTGTTTGATACTTAAAATAAAAAATAAGTACTGTCAATATTTTTTCTTAGTATATTCCACGAGCCATCCAATTTGATCTCGATATACATTACTACCATTATGCTACAATTTACTAGGGTTTGTATATTGAATAGTACCTACCTAATCATATTTATATTTTTTATTATATAAAAATTCTGAGATAAAAGTAAAAATGTTTCCTCTATTTTATAATTTTAAATTACAGACTATTGTGCGTCGTAATGTATTTAAGGCCAACATATTAAAATGCCAGTCATCAACTAGCCTAGCTAAGTTAAAGAAGTTGCAAGCTGATTTCCAAGTATGCGATAATTACTAAATTATAATAATCCAGTAGTGATGCAGCCCTAAATGGGTCTTGCCAGTTCCTTTGTTAATTTTTCTTTTCAGGCTAATAGGTGATCCTGTGCCCTGACACATATATAATTGTTTTTTTAGTATGACTTGCTACTCTCTTCATTTACCTTTGTATGTAAATATGCACATTGATAATAACATAGGTGCAGGTTGGATTCAAGTGCACAACCCAATCATTTATAGTTGCATATGGGCGGCGGTTAAGCATATAATAACTTCTCTTAATAGTTAGTCATGTTTAACATTATAAATTTATTTCATATTTTGTAGCGTGAGGATGGCACACCTATATGGTTAAAACGTGGGTTTACTGACAGAGTATTATACACAAGTACAATAGTTGGTTGTTTCCTAGGAGTATTAATGTGTTTGGGCGTAATCTATGATAATGCTAAACCCGAATCCTGGAAAAAGAAAGATTAAGAAAGAAAGAAGGTCTAGCTTATCCATTTAAATATATAAAAAGACTACTTATAAAATTTTTGTGTGCATACAAATATTATTTTTGGACTATTGAAAATTGTAAATGTCATTGAAGTTTTAACAAATTTACTTTAAAATAATTAAGTGTGATTTGATTTTAAATAAAAATATTTATTATTACTATAAATTTATTGTGAAAACATACCATATAATACAATACCCAACTAGTTTCCATAAGACTACACTTCATTATTTTTAAACAGACAATCTGCAATGAAATATAAGCCTTCTCTTAAAATGTATAAAAGTTTACAATAAAATTACAAACTTTACAACAAAAATTACAACTGCAACTTTAGAGATATGCAGATTTAATTTTATCCAGTTACATTTTTTATTTCCGGTAAATTATAATAATCAACAATAATTTCTATTATGATGTAAATACTACATCATAATAGAAATTATTATGACAAATACACCTCTTCTAAACCATTTCATAGATTTTAGATAGTTAAAGGAAATCATATAAAAAGATATTTAAAGTCAACGCAAGTTTTAAAGCATCACTGCATAGACTCTTGTTTAAAATCTTGTAAGTAATGTTTTTTTGATATAATTAAAATGTACCTTTGAACTATGAAGGAACTTTAATGAATTAAAAACTTTACTAAAATGTATATACAATTTATTATAACATCCACAGTTTGCAGATTGAGTTGATGGCTGCAGACGAGTATGGATCTAGTCATGTTGAATATGCCATCTTGATAACATGTACCAGAAACAAACTCTACTACATATTATCATCAAATCAAATTTAAAAAGTTGGCACAAATATATAGTAATTCTTTCATATTTTTTGTTGATGTTGCTCTGAAAGCAGTCAATGAGTGTAGATCTAGTCACAGAATTTAACTGTGATACTAGGAGTACACCCATTTATTGCCACCAGAAAATCTTCCTCAAAGACATTTCGACTTCCGACGAGACTTTGGTTTTGTAGATATAATTGGAAATCAGGCAAGTTGTCTGGAGTTTGAAAAATTTTTTTAAACATACTTACATAAAATTATAATTAAAAAAATATTGCAATTAAAATAAAACAAAGCGAAACACGTGTAATTTTAAATGGATACTGAGCTGAAACCGCTTCACGAAGATAGATAAATCTGCGCCGGTAGTACTATTGGCGGTATTATGCGCGAAAAATTTGTTAATGGGTTAAACTACATATACCGTTGTTTTATTACTTTGCACGACAACATAATGTTCACAAAACCCTTACAACGACATGAACATTACTATATTAACAACCTTGAACAATTTTTTTGAGCGTTAAAGTTTTAATGACAGCAAACTAAGTTACACGGTTCAGAAAGTTATCAAACTTCCACGAAAACCCTCACCAAGGCATAAAATATTTACTTACATTTAACTTATAACAAGATTTCGGCTTCTATTCAAGTAATAAAGTTGCTCAGTCACCAATTCATGAGTAGCCATTTTCAGTAAAATTTAAACAATTAAGTTTATGACCGAACTATTAGGTAGGATGCGTCAGAGTACAAGTAATAGCGAATGAAGCCTGAAGTGTCAAGAAGGTACTAAAAGAGCGCCAATAAAAAGTAGTTATTACTTTATACGTGATGGGCATTGGCCCGATGCGTACGTCAAAATGAAGTTGTCAAGCAAAAGTTAATTTTACGTAGATAATATATTAATTTTCGAACATTCTTTTCTTGCTCATAAACAAAATATTCTAACCATTATAATTTTTAATTATTCTTATAAATTTAAGTTAATTTCGATATTTTTTTATAAAACTAAGGTATAAATATAAAATATATAATTTATTTATTTACTTAACTCTGATGCATAACAAGACTAGTTTAAAGACGTCCCGTAAATAATTTGGAGGGCAACATGAGGCCTTATCGCTGTCAAGCAATCCTAGGCAACCATTAAGGAAAAATCAATTATAATATGGTAAAATGCGAGAGTATAAAAACATTAATTTACAATATAAAGGGTATAGTCCTTTTCATGATAGAAGTGCCCCAGACGCAGCGCTGTAATCGCATGACGTAATGTTGCCATTTATGAGTTAAAACTTTACCTATTTTACATTTACCATATTTAATTAATCAAATAATACTATTTTCTGCATACTTCTATGACACAATATTTCTGTTATGTAAAAAGTATATTTTTATTTACTTATATAAGCGGTGTTTTACCTACTTACCGGGATAAGATGAGAAAATAGGGTAAAGAAAAGCAATACAATTTTTTATTCAGAGTTTTATTGAATAATTTTAGATCAGCGGCCATAGGAACATCACTGTCTGAAGAGTGGATGGAAACAGAATCAGATTCTGTTTCAGTATCACTAACCGTAGATATAATTGTTCTTTTTTATATTGATACACTTCCCGGGGTGACAATTTATTTCAAAATACTTGCCGCTGTTATACCTTCATTTGTAATTCGTGTTACAACAATTGTTACCTGCAATTAAATAATGAACAATTAAAAATAATAGTAACTTTTAGTTTATAATGCTTATGTAACTATGTAATATATTTTTTAATTTCAGTTACCTAGTTTCGTTCGTTATGTATTTGTTCAATTTTGTCACAAAAATGAATATATATCATAAAATTCCCATCAATACAGAAAAAAATTATTATGTGGCAACTCTAAAAAGTACCTGTTATGGCGGCGAACATTGTTTAGTGGTATTAAAACACCTTGATTCTTTTGTTCCGCTTCACAGAACTCTTTCATTTTCAATATCATTTCTCGAGCTGAACTTTTTACAACTTTAGGCATTGTAAACAATCTTTAAAATGCACTAAGCTAGTTAAAAACTCACAAAAATCTACCACAACAAACGAACTTGGTAACATCGACGAACGACAACATGGCCGACCTGTCAAATTTAGTTCCAAAAATCTCCGCGGGACTTCTTTCATGAAAATGACTATAAATGAAACACTATAGTTTTTTTTTTTTTTTTATAGAACAGGGGCAAACGGGCAGGAGGCTCACCAGGGGCCTTAGTCAAGATGCCTTAACAGTAGTGTATGTAGAAAGTCGAAAACTTAATTTGTATGGAAATGACAGTTCGTGTCGAAAAGTTTTCATACAAATTTAGTTTTTGACGCTCTACATACACTACTGTTAAGGCATCTTGACTAAGGCCCCTGATGTTAAGTGATACCGTCGCCCATGGACACACTCAATGCCACAGGGCTCGCGAGTGCGTTGCCGGCCTTTCAAGAATTGGTACGCTCTTTTCTTGAGGGACCCTAAGTCGAATTGGTTCGAAAATACTTCAGTGGGCAGCTGATTCCACAAAGTGATGGTGCGCGGCAAAAACTTCCTTGAAACACGCTCAGTTGTGGAACGGCGGACGTCGAGGTGATACGGGTGGAATTTCGTACTCTGCCTCCAGGTGACCGCGAAACTGAACGTCGTTCGATATGTCAACGCCAAGTATTCCAA